GTTACTTTTATTTTTATCCATTTTAATTTTCGTTGCTAAAATTAATTGATTCATTAGTTAACTAGGTTCTAATTACACCAGATTTATGATAACAAGTATAAAGATGAATAAAAATGAAATGCTAGACTATCGAAGAAATTATTAGCTTTCTATTTATTTGATATCCTTATCGAACTTCAATTTTGCTAATTTTAATAGTTTCTTGAACTAAATTCAAATGGGGTGAAAAAATATCAAATATAAAATAGATCTATTATGTTCAACCAATTTAATTGTTTCGATAAAACTTAATAAAGCAAAATTATATTTTTAGTCGTCTACAAATAATATTTTGATGTTTGCTCAAGTATTCAAGGTCTAAAGTTTTTAGCCGACGGAATTGCAAGCTGATAACTATTTACAATTATTACTTCTGGTTTTATCACTGGTTGTGATAAATTGACCAATTCATCTACTAATAATGCACAATTAAAATTTTATTAAAATCAGCAAATTAAAGTCAAATCCGATTTTATTGTGCGGATCCAAAAATCAACTCATAAATCCCAAAAAATATTAAAATGATATAATTATCACAAAAAAAATACCTATTTGGGAGATTCGATTAACTATAATGAAAGAAAAACAAAGTTGAAAGTATGTCGTTGCTAAATTCTATAATTCGCACAATAAGATCGATTTTGACTGTGTGATACATACGTGACTTACCACTTTCAAAAGTTGACTTTATTTGACAATATTCTCAGGACATGAATCAATATTACGCACAAATTAGGAACTTTAAGTTATTGTGATATATTGCAACCTTTTAATAGATTATGGACTGTAATAACATAAGGACGATAATAAAGAGGACAGAATTACAAGAGCACTTTAATTGACAACAGATGTTGTAATTGAACTGTTGACAACAATTCCTTTTAAGTATAAAGATTTCCATTGCGTTTAGTTTCCTTGATTAATCCCGATAATTAAATGCAATGGAATTTTTATGTTAATCATGCCTGCGGTATTTACTTTGATACTACGAGTATATTCTAGTTTTTTTTTGTGTGCAACATCCTTTTAATTCTCATCAAAACAATATGTATATGTATATCAAACGTGCTCTTTGTACACTACTTTTGTATTTTTTTGACTGATAATTTAAGACATGAAAGTATCTTGCGTAAGTAACCGTAAACAACTTGCTTCATCATCATAGTCATTATAAGGTCGCCAGTCCTAAGACTGGTTGGACACGCACTTCCGCTCCTTGCTATCCTCAGATAATCTTCGCATTTCTCTAAAACTAGAACATTGTACATCCTTAATTGTTTGTGAACAGTAATCTAATCTAGGTCCACCTTCCCGAGATAAAGATGTTCAGTCTTTCAGAGTCACTGAAAGCGAGACTCGAGTCTGTCGAGAGATAGCCAAAAATTCTGTTTAGCTTCTCTGAAAGAAAGACTCGAGTCGCTCATAGAGAGATCCTCATTTCGTATTCAGTCTCTGAACGAGAGACTCGAATCTCTAAATAAGTAATGTCTCGATAGACATGGTTAAAATTAAAGTTCAACATTTTTCAGAGATCTCAGTCTTTCTAAGAGAGACTCGAGTCTTTCAATTTTTCAGTTTTATTAATTCAGTCTCTCTGTGAGAGACTCGAATCTCCGAATTAACAATTTTATCGTTCGAGTCTCTGATACAGAGACTGTGAGAGATCCATAAAAACACTTAGGCAATAACTGAGAGACTGTGAAAGACTGTGAGAGACGCTCTCAAAGACGCTGAAGGACTCCGAGAGACTGGAGAGACTGAAAATTATTGTCTAGGGTTTACCCCTCCTAACTCCCGCTTCTGCCTCTAATGTCTCTAACTAGACCTTCATGTCTGAGAATGTGTCCTACCAACCTATCTCGCCTATTTCTTATTGACTTCCATAGAGTCCGCTGTTCTTCTATTCTTTCTAATATTTCTTCACTTTTAAACTTCTCTATCTACGGTATCCTCATCATTCGCCTGTAACATCACATTTCGAACGTTTCTAACCTTTTCCTTTCCACAGAGCTAACCGTCCATGTTTTGCATCCGTACAGCGCCCCGATCCAAGCATACACCTTTTTATAATAAGCATAGAAGTGACTTTTTTTTAAGGCGACTCGACCCTGCACTATCCTCTGCTTTATATCTCTACTACTCCTTCCGTCCTGAATTATCTGATATTATTATTATCTTTATTTATTTATTATTCTAATTCTTCGTCTCCTATCTTTATATTCGCTCTTTCCCCTACTTTTACTTCCCTT